GACAGAGGAGGGAGGAGCGGGGAGGCTCTTGCCATGCAGCGCTTCAAGAGCTGACCTGCATCTGACCTCAAAGTGCACAAGCTTCAAACTTCAGCATTGGCTGCGATTTTGAAGCTGAAATCGCGTTTGGTGTGAACGCAGCATAAAACAGGTGTGAGACAGATCTAAAACATCTGTGGAACAGAAGCAGTACACATGTGAGACATAAAATAGGTGTGCACTAGGTGTAATATAAATGTGAAACAGGTGCTTTAAATTCTGACCTCGTGTTTTTCTGGAAGCAGTTTGATCAGCTGTTTCAGGACTTCCACGTCAAATTTGGATCGGTCACCGTTCAGGATCAGAGACACAAACTCCTCATGGGTACTTGAGGTGATACAGATCAGGTGTGGTGGGAGGCAGGTGAGGAGAGGATGTTGCAGGTACAGACAAACAACAACACAGATGCAGCAAAGTTTAAAGTAGTGACAATCAGACCAGGGATGGCTTTAACCAGTCAGATGGTGAGAAGATGAAGGAATACGTTGAGAGGGGAAAAAGACAAGTCAAAGACTTGAGAAAAGACAGGTGCGTGCAGGTGAAGGTGTGTTTACCATCTGAATGGTTTCAGGAAAATGTTGAGGTTCAGGCTTTTCTTGGCATCGATGAAGGAAATCTGTAAAAAACAGAAGGTGACTTTAAATCATAAACCACTGATGGACAGGTAAATGTTTTTATTTAGAAAAGCACCTCTTTTATCTCGGACTTGGTCAAGGTTTTGGTTTTTGTCTCTGTTGGAGGAAGACTGAAGAGCTGCTCAATGCAGCTGTAATCTGGTTCCACCAGGTCGGAAGACCCCGAGGACCACAAAGACTGATGATCTGCAGACAGAGACAGGTAAGGGTCTTCACGTGGTCCACTGTGTGTGTGTGTGTGTGTGTGTGTGTGTGTGTGTGTGTGTGTGTGTGTGTGTGTGTTTGGACTGAGCTGCATCACCTTTTAAAAACAGAGAACAACAACAACAGAAAATTTTAAAAACTCGATTTCTTCACACGATTATTCCCACTCCAGTTTATAACTCTGCTTCCAGTCCTGTGGAGTAATTAGAAATATTAATTTTAAAAACGGTTTAAAGCTCTGTAATCATCAGCGAGCTCCACGCTCTGCAGATCACCTCAGTTCCTTTCTGCAGCAGGTTCTTTTTAAAACTGGGTGATTAAAGCATGTTGGTTTAAAACCAGTGAGGATGTTTAGTTCACTGAATTAAAATCTAGTTAATTAACATTTAAGTACCCACATTTTCAGTTTAGTTTAATTTTTACAGTGAAAATTCCCAGACAAAGACTRTATTTGTTGCTGCATTGCTTTTCAGACTGTTTTATTGTCCTTGTGTGACATTTGGAATTTGTCCCGAGGCCTGCTTGTAGCAGGGTGACCAGATGGCCGAGGCACTGAGGTACAAATCACACAAGATTAAATATATCTTCAAGGGAAGTCCTGGTTTCAATTCAATGTTGCTGCTGCAGGTCAGGATGGTAAACGTGCCATTAAAGGATGTTTCTGTACCGTATTGTTAACGCATTTTTACCCTGTTACCGCATTGTTACCGTTGTTATCGTATTGTTACCCTCTTGTTACCGTATTGTTACCATGTTGTTACCGTATTGTTACCCTGTTGTTACCGTATTGTTACCCTGTTGTTACCGTATTGTTACCCTGTTGTTACCGTATTGTTACCCTGTTACCGTATTGTTACCCTGTTACCATGTTGTTACCATATTGTTACCATGTTACTGCATTGTTACCCTGTTACCGCATTGTTACCCTGTTACCGCATTGTTACCCTGTTACCGCATTGTTACCCTGTTACCGCATTGTTACCCTGTTGTTGCAGTATTGTTACTGTATTGTTACCGTGTTTGTTACTGTATATTTTTACCATGTTGTTACCGTACTGTTACTGTATTGTTACTGTGTGCGTGCGTGCGCGTGGTAAAACCACTCACCCGTCACCACTTTGGGAGGGAGTTTCTGCCAGTTCAGTTTCTTCATTCTGAGGGTCGGGCAGGGGGTGGGGCTTACGTAACTGGTAGGGCTGGAAAATGTACCTAAAGCTTTCTGAGGGGTGATGAATTCATCTGGAGGAGGAGGAGGAGGTCCCATGCCAGGTAAAGGAGGAGGAGGAGGAGGTCCCATGCCAGGTAAAGGTGGAGGAGGAGGAGGT